AGAAAGTATTCTGCAATAACAGACTTGAAATTCCTTTACGCATAAGACGAAAATTATATTATTATAGTTTAATTACAGTGTTACAGCAAGCCTGCGAGGCACTGGACAATTTAAGACGACCTCAAAATAAGATATAGAAGCTTTCAATATGTGGACATACATATTTACATTTACAATTTCTATGCTAACTATGTCGTTTTCCACGATAGCTTCGGGGATACGCCGGAATTCAACTAGAATAAAAGCACATTATCGAGTACCCACTCAATTTTGCTATAAAGGACATTACCCAACATTAATAATTACATATAAATGTAACGTATACCAGCCATAAGTACATTATTATTGTAATAAAATGTACTTAAATAATTAGGAGTTACAGACACACGCATTAGGGATGTTACAGACACTCACTACCTCCCGCGCCTCTGCAAACTATAGATTAAATGATAAAATGTATCCCAGGTTCATAACCACATCGTTTATATCAGATTAAACATTTAATTCGTCAAGCAATCAGGAAAATGGTTTAAGTATTTAATTCTGATTGTGGCTAAATGTAATAACTGCAGATCGTTCAAACTGAGTGTTGATTACGTTTTATATTATTCAGTAATAAACGGTCTCAGAATTTTTATGGGATATTCGAGCATTTAAAACTTGATAGCGTAAATTGGCTATTAAGTTTGGCAAAAGGAATACCGTGCTAAGCAGAACTTAATGTTTGTATCAGTAAGTACTTATTTATAATGTACAATTTGAATGTCCCGAACCGATTTTAATGATATTTTACGGAAGTATTTTTCAATATTGAACATTCATTATAAATTAAATTGGCAAAACAAATCAAATTCAAACCTTTAAGTGCATACAAATATTGTAAAGCTGACTATTAGGAGTCATTGTATGAAACGTGTTGAGAAAAACAAGAAGAGTGTACGAGCCACAGAACGACGCAACTTAATGTAGATACGCCACTGCACACTCGAACATTAAAGCATCGTAAATTTGCGACACACTGGTAACGTTTCACATGCTAAGTATCTGTCAGAACAAGCTTAAGATCGACGACGGAATATTTATACTTACGTCGTGTGAAGACAATGCCTACTTAAAGCACAATGACAGTTAATTACTTGTTATTTTATGAACGCATCGTATTTTACTACAAAATGCAATGGGCGGAATGTCGACATACGGCATAAAAGGGGTAGTTTATCGGTACTATGCTAAAGGGGTCGTAGACGGGAGACGGAGGGGGTCTCACGCACCATTAGGCAGGAAGTCTCGAGGCGGGTCGACACGCGACGCCGACACGTGTTACACTTTCAACATAATTGCTTCTAATCACATATATTATACCTAAATACATGTTATGTAAACATTAGAGACAGACAACAGCCGAATTATCAATGAAAAGTGTAAACATTGTAAATATCATGCATAATATTGTACTACAAATTAAAGGCGAAGATATGAGCTAGACTTAACAAAATAACCGATCATTTATTAATGTTATCGATGCTTGAAATAACGATATCCGGCTTCTAAACTAGATTACAATACACCAAGTTTCAGTGAAGTTCTACCAAGTTTCTACAGTTTCGTGTTCTAAAAAAAATAAACATGAGATAATAAAAAAAATCGTGACTCTTGTGGGCCGGATGAGTCGTAAAACTGATTACATAATTTCATTGGAAGCGACGACAGAACGGTCCCTAACTCACTTTCCCGCGTTGAAAAACAAGGAGTCTCGCCTAAGCGACAGGGGAAAAGTTAATGCGACTCGTCGGGCGAGAGCGTAGTGCGACTCACAAGAAACGTCGAGGGCCTGCAATGCAATATTTATCACCCGCTCGCGAACGTGCCTGGGAAAAAATGACAAATTCATGTTTCCCGCGCCCGACGTTGGCCTCGACGCTTCTCGCCCCGATTTATTTTTGGCATAATTTTTATCAGAGGGCGCGGGATCCGGCGTAAACTAGATAGAAATGTTTTCACGACTCGCTTGTTTATAAAGCCATCGACGGGGAAACAGATACGCTCTATTTACACGGCTCGAGCGCTCGTGTTTGCACATCTATCTCTCGAGATAATGTTGCATAAACGTTGTAGGCATAATACATTTGTTTATTTCGCTCACTTGTGAGTGTTCGGCTTTTCAATCGAGGCCTTGAAGATGTTTCACATAAAAAATGTGCTTTATAACGAATATCATGGAATGTATGTATACAACGAGACGAGGTCGCACGTTCGTATCGATCTGTTCGAGTTACGTGAATATTGTTTCAATGTGAACTTTCGTATCATGTATAGGTGAGCATAAGTGGGAGTTCTCGTATCTCGAAGCTATTACCTCTGCGGAGGTCGGGGGCCTCCCCTCGAGACCGGTGGCGCGGAATAAAATCAGAACGAGAAATGATTTACCCTTCGATAACGCACCGACGACGACACCCCATGCCGTTGTCTCCCCGCTTTTTGACAAGTTCACGCATATTGCTCGAACACAATGCTTAAATCGTTCAACTCACTCTATATCTATTATGCCTCAATTCTACTGGTTAATAACTATCAGCTTCAGCTTGATAGTAGCTAATAATAAAATTGCAGAGAACTTGTGTTTATGCTTGATTAGAGGCATAGTGCTTGTAATCGAATGCATATTCGAATAGAAATAACACATTAATAGTATCGTTATTATATATGAATTATTATATTTTATATTTTGATATTCATATGTATGTGTATATATCATTAGGATTTTTTTTCTCCTTATGTACTGGACTGGACTGGAAGAAAATGCTTGTGGCATTAAGTCCGCCTTATGCAACCTTTGCAGGCAATCTAAATAAATAAATAAATAGTAGAGTAGGTACCCAATTTTATCATCCTGTGTATTTGAAAATATTTGTTATTGTTTATCAGTTCAAAATATAATCATCGTGTATACATTTTATAGAAGTTATATTATAAAATGTTCGTTAAACATCAATATCTTTTAAAAGTATTAGGAACTAAGTATATACAAAAAAGATTGCTTTGTGAGTAGAAAACGAAGCACTCGAATTGTAAGTGATTTTAATAGGCAAGCAAATCCCCCAATTTCAGAAGTATTCCCTGTTCACAAATCGCGCTCCTCGAACGCTCGCAAATCAGACGAGGCAGAGCGGCCACTCTCAGGGGAAAGCCCCTTTGATCCCTCGCTGACCCGAAAATAAAAAAGGTACGTAATAAAAAAGGCCCGACATACGGAAGGTGGCGCCGCTTTTTTATTTAAATTAGAGTGTTTTATGGGGAGAGGGCGATATTGCGTTTTGGCGGTGTCTCGAAGACTGTTCGGTAAGCTATACTCGTATTCGTATGTGTAGGTAAATCCATCCGGTTTATGCTTCGGGAGCATCGAACCTTTCGCAAATAATTCTTTAGCTATTTTCTTTAATTCGGTGTTTTCCTATCGTAGTCACCGATAGGAGAATGTCATTAACAAGTAGAAAAATAGTTTGTGACGCCTACGTTAAAGGAACAAAAAATCGCTTTATTTATCTGTACACTGTGTGTCGGTCTTAATGCATACCATGAAACATATTCCGTTGTCACTACAAACAAACTCTTTGGTGAGCAGCCAAAACATTATGACGGTAGGTATTAACGTTGATAATTTTTAAAACGACTGGTTCGTTTACGTGCTATTACCTAAGTCGGTTTGTCTTCGGGAATGAGTGCGGGGCGATGCTGCACATTGTGATCAAGTTGGCGGCTAGCCAGCGCACTCTGCTCCGCAACAGTCTATCAACCACAGACGGATGAGCGACGACTGAATTCCACCACTTTATTTTCGCCCTCATTATCATTAAAGTGATTTATTTTCGTCACGGTTCATCTATTCACGGTTCTCGAGCTCCAAACGTTAACACAGTACGAGAATAGGTCGCACTAACGACTTGGCACCCAAATGCGAACGAGCCTATTGATATAATGAACAGCAATGAAGTCCTCACTAGCTAAAAACTACTATTAGAGCGTTGTGAAATTAATTAAATGTGCAAATTATGAACAGATACCAACTTGAGGAGTGGTGTGTATGTGTTGTCAACATTGTGTATGTAAATTAGAATACCTAAGAGCTAATAATAATGTGTAATGGTCATTACACTTCGGCACTAAAAGTCGTCAGCACTACTCCGCAACTCGCCCAATCTGATGACAAGTGGCTTCTCAAAATTATATAAACATGCTAATTCGCGCAGACAGGCGGCTTAATAAAATAACTTTCTATCTAATAGCGGTTGTTTGTAACAATTTTATCAATACCTTGTAGTTGGATCGCAGCCAACGTCTTTCGCGGCTTAGATCTTTTAATTAACGATTGTAGAAGTTTAGACCTGTTGAAATTCGTGCTTTTAAATTATTAACTTTACACATAAGTAACAACTTTTTGTTGTTCGTATTTGAATTGTAGCTTCTGTGTAATATTTAACTATTCTTTTTCAAGAAACTAGATGTCTTGTTAAACAAAAATCATCTAATATTTGCAACATGTGAATAACAAAGTAATGACAGTGAAGTCGAGTCGCAAATGTTTGGACAGATGCCAGCCACACACTCGCCATTTGCCATCCGTGTTGAATTGTCGGCATCGGCACGCTAAACACTCCACGGCACATTTACAACCAATGTGCTTTTGAAAGAACTTCACTCGAGTTGTAAGTCGGTGTGCCTAAAATATTAATTTGCGCCCCGACATTAATCTCTCCTTTTAGGAATTCCAAATATTATCTGGTTATTAAATACCGAAAGATAACCAACTAATATATTTAGGCACAGTTGAATGTATAATATTGTACTAATAAATTAATGAATAAATTGCCATGTTTTCATATACAACGTCTAGTTTTCGTAATTTAGATGTTAGAAGAAAAAATATAATAAACATATTTTCTTTGATCGTAGACAAGGAGAATATGTAGGTAGCTAGATAAAAAAAAATAGGGGGCACTCACCCCAATGATGGCGTTCAGTTCTGTCATAGTAACTTGTTTCGCCCTTTCTACGGCCGAGGCCACTTGTTGTTGATGTTCCTGAGACAGGAACGGTAATATTTGTGCTATTATCGCATTCAGCCTTTTTGCTATCTCCGTCTGAAAAACATAAAGTAATGTTAAACCATACATTATATATTATTATCATTGTCACAGTGACAAAACTATAATAACCGCAGTGGTCATTGATATCACATGCGTAATAAATAATTTAAATTAACCAATCTACTCGACTGAATAAAATCAACGTTAATATTAAAATAAAGTTGGCTATAAATACATCGGCCGCCCACTTACTGCAGAGTGCTACTTTACATATGAATACACCGCCCAAAATGTTTCAACATTCTGACGCTGATTATTCAATAATAACATTTATAATTAGCTGATAAGTCGTTCGGGGAACAACAAATAAAATTAACACGATAAACAATAATGCACGCGGCGGTATGAAATGATAAATCGCCGTGTTTCCAAGTATAACTATTTATTGGCTTTGTTCGTATTTTCCGTTTAAATGCACATTAATTTTATTCGCAGATTCGCAGTGAATCGGCGACGAATTAACATAATTAAGTGTATTATTATATCAGCCCTCGTCGAGACGTGTAAACAATGAACTTGTTTTCGACACTTGTTTTTATTTGGTCGACATCATCGGAACATTACAGTTCAGTAACGCGGGTATCTGGCGATGAGTTTATTAATGACACGAATACGTTAATTATAATCGAACGAATGAATAACAAATGTTTTTGTCGGGAACTTCGTCACAAATATGACATTTATTTCTGTTGAAAGTATTAAATAACGTGATGCCAATTATCTTGGACTGAAACGACGGAATGAATGAATGAATGATCAAAACACCTTTAAATGAGAGGATGGGAATAGCCAGTTTTCGACTCGTGTCAAGTGGCAGAAATGTCATATTGTCTACATTTCCATAAAAGCAAAAAATTGGTCACTATGATAAAAGATAAAGTTGCAAGTGCAAGTTCTCCTTAATGTAATACAATAGAACAGTAGCATTTTTTAAATTCTTAGTCTCTTCTTTAACACAATACTGCATTTCTTGTGGATGTACATACATGATATTTTGTCGTAAAAAACGTGTTTTGTACATGCTGACATTTGACACACATTTGTACTAAATTTGGCTTATTACTACAAGGATATCTACAGCTCAGATCGATATTACAACATGATTAAAGCAACAACCTGAATTACTTGCTAGCATTATCGGTGTAGGCATGTACGATGATTACTGATTGCAAGTCACGCAATAATGTGTTTCACAGTTCCCAGAAACCGGTCATCATAGGGGCATAAAAATCTGCTACTGCGTTTTTACAAAAAATGACCTTCTAAATATTTTATGAATCCTTGCTGTGGCTTTGAGATTTTTTTGTGTGCAGTGTTCATTAATATTCAAAGACTGTGGGTCTATTACTAACAATAACATGACAAGTTTACTAAGTCTTAGATGTAGCTAAGTTCACGTACTGTCTTTATTCTGTGGTGATTAAATGTTTTTAGAGATTTTCTTTTGTAGGTACCTTAGATGTTTATGATATGCTTCTGATGTTTTTTGCCAAAATCTTTTGTAGATCATTTAAACTATAACATTTGATAAATACACTAAAACTGTATTCAGCTATGTGTTAAAGCCTGGTCTGTGTACATGTATGAGCGTTCTGAGCGCGGTGGACCATAGCGCGACCCCACCACCACAAATTGTACTTTCATTCCGCCTCGCTAAATGGACTGTTTGTAACATTCGACTGGCAACGCGACGCAAATTTGCTCTGCCTCCACACACACACGTTTGTTTTTCGAACAAGAGATTTATGCTTCATCCGATCACATTTTATCGACTAAAAACCAAATGAAAGCTATTTTGTTGCTCCGTCGATAAGACAAATGTTACTTGTGGAACAAACATGTAACATTTTAAAAGAGCTTTTTTATCTGCTTACAACCGACAACATATTGAAAAACTTTATTTTTTAAATTTTAATTTAATTACACAGTAATAGTAAAAAATAATGATCGCAAATAGACTGTGCTACAGAGAAGAGATAATCGGATCCGACAGATTTACATCTTAAGCAGACATTTATATGTGGCAGGAAATAAAAAAATATTACTAAGAGGATGGACAAACATTTAATTAAATAATCAATATACATTTTTTAAAGTAAGCATTACTACATGATTTGTCCATTTGGTAGATAGGTAAACATCCGGCTAAAATGGAGTTGTGACAATTTTAGTCGGTAATCAAAACTGTACAACGGATTGATGACGTGTATCGGGGCCGTGGAAGTAAAGAATCATTCATCATAATTAAGTTTTGTTTTTAAACGGTGAAGATGACAAAAAGCTTACGGACCACGTACCTACATTAAGTAGCATGACAATAACCTTAAATACGAAGATCTTAAGAAATATGTACTATAAGGGTTTTTTTTTAAAGCTATTACATAAGAGTTACATAAGGGTGGTAGGTGTGTGAAGTTGATTTTGGCGAATGACGTTCGCTGACACATTATAAAGCGGACAAGCCGCAGCACAGAAACCGCGCGATCGCGCGTTCCCGCTGCTGCGATCACCGCAACACTCCCGAATTACCACAAATTACATTTTCATTCGCCGCACACCGCCGGCCGCCGCGAGGTTATTGTGAAAATCTACTACTAAACTGAAAAATACCCAACTCTACATTTATTTTGCTTTTTATGATAAACGACTTTCGTTCCTACACCGTACAGCAGCGACACACAATATTCATTTTGATACTAACAGACCGTGAATTGCAGAGAATTGTAGTGAGAGTTTGTTATAACTCTGTTTCTCAGCGAATCGCACATTACTCATGGCTCATATACACATGACTCAAATAGTACCGAGAGCGTCACTGACTCGACAGTGAAAACTCGATGAACGTATAATTACAATTACTTATCCGAGTAATTAATTGTAATTACAGATGTGTGTGAATATTTTTGACACTTATGTTTTCATTGTTTAAGCGAATTTAATAGTGAATCGTAAGCAACATAGATAATTTTAAACAGTAAAGCCAAGTTATGTGATGTGTCAATTTACTAACTAATTTTCACGGAAGTTATTAATGCGACATAAATATGCAGAATTATATCATGTTTAAATTTTCATTAATATAATACTCGTAGATACTTGATGATAAGTGTCATCGGTAAAACAAAAAAGTCTTAGGCGGGATTGAGATAGTGCATAGGTATTTACGTACATGGTATAAGTAATATTCCTCTTTACTAGCAACGAATGTATTTTATATCTGACGTATGGTCAAATTGGCTTCTCGAGTACTTGGAATCCGTAGGAGGTCAACTGTTTTACACTAAAGAATCTTTGCGCAACTGCCAATTCTGCACATTCTTTAAACACTAGAGCCGATAGCGTAAGTTCTCGGTGTCTCGAAGCGTAAGTTCATAGCATTCCTAGTTTGCAATATCGAAATTCAATCAGGGAATAGTGCCATTGAACACAAAATATCGACAAAGGGTTTCAGATTAAAGCAGTTTTTCTTATTGTCGTTACGAGCCGGAGAATCCCCGCCCCATCTGCACCTCGTATAACTCTACAATAGTAGCTACGAGTACGAACGGTGGAATAAAAAGCGAACGTACAAAAGGGCCACAAAATACGTACTTTTGCGAGCTCTCCACAAAAGATATAGTACGGTTTGTCATTAAGGAGTTCATCCCCGCGCGAGAAATAAAAGAGGAACGTCGGGTTTTGGGGTGAGCGGGCGACAGTAGGGGTTGAGGCTCAGTGCGGAGGCGAGGAGGTGCACTAATGGCTCCGACACTCATCCGCTAATGCCGCGGGTGACTCCTCTTTTTGCACGATTTTCACGTGGTTTAGTCGGCGGAGCTTTTAATCTGGAGCGCCGCATCTTGCCAACAGTGCTCTATTTGTTTCGCTGTCATTTATTGCTACATCACAATACTAACTTCAATATCATCAAAGATCTTATAAAAAATCAAACATTTAATATGTAATAATTAACAGCAAATTACATAAATCAGTCCATCTGTCTATACTAAACATGTTTTCGTTTTTGTTTTTACATTTACATCTCAAAAACTTGTTGAGCGTTTTTATTAACTAAACATGTTTTCGTTTTTGTTTTTACATTTACATCTCAAAAACTTGTTGAGCGTTTTTATTAATTCACTATATTCAATTTTTAAGTTTCTCATGTTTCACTGTTTTATAAATAATAAATCGATTCCAAAACAACAGTGAGTTTGCATTCCAAAAACGATCGAGCGGCGAACGTTGTAGCTGTTGAAAAACTCTATCACAATTAGATAAATGTGACGACGGTAAATTAGTGTTGGTATTTTGATGAATCATCACGACTGCTCTGTCATCACATCAACAGCCTTTAATAGTCCACTGCTGGACATAGGCCTCTAGGGATGGTGACATTCAGTATTCTTAATCCGTCACTACACGGCTCTGTCATAGCCATTATTAATAAAATCTATTAAGTGAAGACATATTTATATACTCGTAATATATACATTATAATATATCATAATATAATCGTAATATATCATAACTACCGTACCGTACCGTACCGTTCACTTCGGCTCCGTACATTTTATAGCAATAAAAATATAATTAGTATTCTTTATCACCAAATTCGAATCGAAACCAGTTACAGTGACGTGAAAAGTGAAAAATATTAATAGTTTTTCCCGAAAAACTGTTTTGTTATGTAAAATAAAGAACAAGACCGGCACGAAGCATCATAACAGTTTACTGTGTAACAATCGACAAACCACCCTGGAAAATCAACTGAGAATCATTCTTGAAGGTCAGTCTGTGTAAAACAATTAAGTGGCAGAAAAAACTGAGCGAAATAGCAAAAAAATATTATATTATAACCTAAAAACAAAACCTAAAGGTCATTCTAAACAAAAAATTGGACTTGTGACGCCATCTAGTAAGCAAGCAACATACAAGTAGAATACCGCTGCGCCTACGCACCAGCTATTTTGCTATTACTTAGTTCTGATATTAAGCACTGGAGGGCAACACTT